CCGACGCTGACTCCCAACCTGGGCCAGCCACCTTCCCCTCCCCCGCGTGAGGGAGGAGGCTGAGGCTGTAGGGAGAGCCCTCTCGGCGGAGAAGTCCTGCTGGACTGTGGAGCTCTCCAGTTCTCCCTCCCCCCCCCCCCCCCCCCCCGCTCCCCCGGCCGCCCTGCCACGTCCTTGGGATTAGTGTAGCGGCGCCGCAGGCTGCTCTGAAAACAGAAAGATCTGAAAGAGTCCGCAGAAGGGAAGCTTAGCCCGGTGCACATTTTGCATAAATACATAAAGTCGAGGGCTGGAGCCAGCGCCTTGCAACCTGGGAAGCTGCTGAGCAGAGGGAATGGAGGCTTCCCGTCTCCGAACTCAGATCTGAGGGGCCAATCCCAGGTTTGGTGTTTCTTAGACCTATCCGGAATCCCGGGCCAGGCCGATTCCCCACCATCCACTAACCCCCCTGGAGACCTATAGCGCCTGGGCATCCTGGTGACCCAGTGCCCTATACCCGATTGGGGGTCACCTTCCCTTCTGTCAGTCCCGCCCCTTGCCCACCGAGTCTAGGGCCGAGAGTGTAGGGCCAAGACGGATTCGGGTCACCGCGAGGCAGGGCGGGATGGGGGCACTTGGAGAGGGAGGGGTTCATTAATAATGCTAACCCTGGACAAAATTGCAAACCCAAACGACCTCTCCCAGGGCGGTGGGTGAAGCCACGCGCCCTGGCGGCAGCACTCTGGCAGGGAGATCTCCGCGCCTGGACTTTGCCTGCCGGGGGAGTTTTTAGAACAGCCCTGCAGCCGGACGCCCGGCGGAGGTACTGCAGGCCCGCATCACCCCCGCCCCCCGCCCTGGCACGTGACTCCCGCAGGCCAATCCGCGGCGGCGGCGAGCGGGATCGCAGGGGCGCGGGGACCCGGGCGGCGAGCTGGGGACTTGGAGGCTGCTGGCACTGTGGCTGCGAGAACCGCCGCGGCCAAAGCCTCTGGGCCCGGGAGACCGCTCGCTCGCCGCCCTCCGGGAAGCTCCAGCCCCCGCAGGTACGGCCTTTTTCGTTCCCAACCTTGTCCTTTCGCGCCGATCGCGACACTCCCGAGCTCCCGGCGTCGGTGTGCTCGGGAACAGAGAGGTAATTGTAATTGGTAGGTGAAAGGGAGATGTTGGCCACTCTTCTTCCCCCCAAATTAGCCAAAGCCTGCTCTGCCTTTGGAGTAGCAGCTTCTTTAAGACAAAGTAAGATTTATGGGGGGAGCAGAGAGAGAGCTTTGAAGCTGCTTTTGGGTTCTTTTGGTATGAACTTGAGCGGCTTGAATCCAAACACTCCCGCGTGCACTTTTTTCCAGCCCTTGTTTGCACCTCGCAGGCCAGGGCCCGGGGGGTGGTGATGGCCGTGAGAAATCATCCTGACCCACTGACCCCGGGGCAAGCCCAAGGCAGCTGGAACGCGGAGGGGCTCCCTCCGGCCCAGGAGTGTGGCCGGCAGGCGCTCCCGGGACCCGCAGTGGCTGCGGGAGACAGAGGCCCCAGGGAGGCGCTCTGAAGTCAGAAAAACGACCGCTGAACGCCCAGACTTTCTATGCCCTTCTGACCAGCGTCCTCGCCTTTCTGATCGGGAGCTAAATGCCCCCCACAAAGCAGCCAACCCTACGCATCCACAGCGTTTCTGGGGGACACTAGCCGAGGGCCGGAACCTGGGCGGAGAGCAGTGATGTCCCTCCTCTGCTGGCCACGGTTTGCCGAGGGGATCCAGGACCTTCTGTCTCTTGGCTTTGGGCAGGCGTGGGGGTGCAGGGTCATCCAGGGGAGAGGAGGGTTCCCCCGGTGGTGAACTGCCGCCCCGTTGAGGGGATGAAGGGTCTCTCACTTGGGAGAACAGGGTGGTGAGGGAACCCAAGGCCTGGGGAGGGCCGGGCAGCGAGGCGGCCGCTGCGGGGAAGGTTGGGGAAGCGCCAGAGGGAAGTCTTTCCTGTGTTTCTCAGAGAAGGAATTGGCAGCCAGGAGCAGGTTTCAGGCTGTTGAAGACCGGGAGGTTTTATTGAGGGTGACGAGGTGATGCCCCCCACACTTCTGAGTGCGTTCGCGTGTGACAGTTTTCAGCTCAGCAGGCCCAGAGCCAACGTGCGAGCTGAGCCCGAAGAGCAGGAGTAGTGACCTGTAAATGGACGCGAACATTCTGGCGCTCCGGCTCTCAGAAATAGATCGGGAAAGGGCTGTGGGTTACTCTCGCCCAGATAGATAGCACTTCCTGCCTGGCCTGTGAATTTGGGGTGAACTGGGATGAGTGATCAGAAATAGAGGGAAAACTGGGACCTAGGCCTGGCCCCCACAGCGAGGCCAGATCGCTGCAATTTTCAGGAGCTCCCGAGGCGCCCTGGACGGATGCCTGGACCAGGGCTCAATGACTGAAAAAAAGCAAGAATCGTTTTAAGGAAATAGTTAATTTATTGTGTGTGGGTTTTTTCAGGAAGCTATAGAGAGTTATTTTCTCCACTTTCTATTGTCCAGTAATCCAACTCTGAGGCAATGCATGGGCCATATAAAAAGACAAAGAATGGAAGACAAATGTTAGATTTATGGCATTTTTAGCGTTTACACTTTAAAACTTGTAAATTAGCATTAATTGAAAGTTGGATTACAAAAATTATAAACCTTCCTTTCCTTCAGTTAACTCATGATGTTATATTTTAGAACTGCAGAAACTGAGTATTACAGACCTAAAAATAACAACTGCCCAGGGGTGGGCATTTTATTAAGATAAACCTATGTATTTACTTAAACACAGAAATTTCTATTAGGTTTTGGGTTTGTTTGTTGTTGTTTTTTTGCCTTCATTTTCAAAGGGGGAAATTGGTGATCTCAGGTCAAAATTTTTGTATCCGCTCTCTAACCAAACTTCTTATTATAAAGAAATGTCCACCAAACCAATAATTTATTGTATAGTTTAGAAAGCAAATACTTAGGAGTCAGTGACTATATAATACAGCGCTCTTTTCATTAATATTATTCATGATGTTGCAAAAATGGTTAGAAGCACTTAGAAGATTTCATCTCCCAATTTTTTCATAATAATAAAGATAACCATTTATCTTTATCATTATATCTGAGGCACTTGCTTATGGTACATGAGAAATCTGTGGTAATAATAATAGCCAACAATTATGTAGAACTTTCTTGTGCTTGTTATAACAGTTTTTTTAATAGACCTGGTATAAGTGGCTTTACACCTATTGATTTTTAATTCTTACCTTGACTCTAAAGACAAATACCTTTAATATTTGCCATTTTGCAAATGAAGAAACGGAGGCTCTGAGAAAGAAGTTAAGTAATGTGTTTAAAGTCATTCATTCATTCAGCGGTAAAGCCTAGATTTGGTAGATGGTTCAGTTAATATCTTTGTAAGTTTACTATTGCAATGAAGAAGAAACTGCTGTTAGGGGTGGCTGCCACCTCATAAGGAGAAGAGGGGTGTAGTGGAGAGCCTCAAAGCCCTGGAGCCCTACAAATCCCCTTCCCCCACCCCTTTTCCCTGTACTTTGATCTTCCACAGGTTTCAAAACTTGCCGAGGCTTCAGTTCCCTCTTTTGTAAAATGAGGAGAGACACTTTTACTTAGGGGAGTTGTGGAGAAAGGGACAGAACAGGTGTTTCAGAACGAGGAGCTCTGATGTTATCAAAGAAAGTGCCTGATAAAATCAAAACACTGGATATAAGAATATAATCAAGTCCTATGGACTGTTCTTTGCTGCTGTCTTTGGTGTTCTGATTCCGGACATGGGTGGAGCAATGATATGAAAAAATCCATTCAATGAAATTGGAATGGTCCAGCGATTAGTTCTGTAAAGCGACAATTTATATTCCCCTCACTTTCTTCATCTTAATACCCAATCTGCAATATCTCTAAAATATGTAACTATTGGCAAGAAACATATATCCTGTCTGATTTAATGTCTACGTGGTATATAATGTGACATCTCACAATTCTTTTCACTGAGATGTGACAAACGCTGGTTGTTTATTGAAATTAGATCCTACCTCCGATCGAAAATTACCAACCAAAATGTCTTAGGATGCTGGGTTTTAATAAAGTTTGTCTTCGTCTCCTGTGGCCAATGTAAAGTTCTTTCGTGGCCAGGTGAAGGTAGGAACAAGTAGGCGGACAGAGAAGATAAGTGAAATTTCCTGGGTCCCAGGCACTCCAGTGAAACCTCAAATTCTTGGATATATAAAATATGTATCGGGACAATGATATGGTTAAAAATAGGATAAGATAAAATCCTCCCTGACAATCAATACAAAAAAGTTAGCCTGGATCGCAACCAATAATTCCATGTCCAATAACCGGGAAGCCCACGTTTCCAAGGGACCCCTCCCCAGGATTCTGTCAGATCCCCCCCATGGCCTCCGAAAAACAAAGACTGCAGCTTCCTCGGAAAGATACGGCTACCAAAGCTGCGCCAGAGCATGGCGATTGTGTTTGCTACTAAGCCTGGGAAAAGTGGGCCGTGAAAGCTCAGGATTGAACGTCTCTCCCTTTCGTCTTTCCTCCAGGACAGCGACTGCGGTGAGGAGGAAAGGAGCGGCCTGAGCCCCGCGCCCCAGGCCGCGGCGGCCTGAAGACGGAGCAGCGAGGGCTCTGGCCTGACCCAAAGGCCGGGTTCCCGCACCCCAGCCCAGACCCCCTGCCTGGCATCTCCCACCCCTGGGCGCTCCTCACCTCCGGGCCCCGGGGCGCCTTCGGCCCCTCCTGCACCATCTCCGGGAAGAACCCAACATTTAATGTGGGGTTTTCTTGAGTGAAACAAGTCTTTTGCTCCATGATGGATTTAAAGCGTATATATATTTTGAAGGATTTTTAAGAAGCATTTGGTTTTTCGATCTTCATTTTTGTGACAATCCCTCGCTCACCTATACATTATTATTTTTTTGTGATTATTGTGTGTGTGTTTTTTTGTGATTATTATTTTTCTTTCCGCTCCTTGCTCCTCGACCAGAGAGGGAGAGAACTCAGAAGGGAGGATGTACCAGAGCCTGGCCATGGCCGCCAACCACGGCCCCCCTCCTGGGGCGTACGAGGCGGGCGGCCCCAGCGCCTTCATGCACAGCGCGGGCGCCGCGTCCTCGCCCGTCTACGTGCCCACCCCGCGGGTGCCCTCCTCGGTGCTGGGCCTCTCCTACCTCCAGGGCGGAGGCGGCGGCGCCGCGTCCGGAGCCTCCTCCGGCGGCAGCAGCGGTGCGGCCCCGTCGGGCGCGGGGCCCGGGACCCAGCAGGGCAGCCCCGTGTGGAGCCAGGCCGGGGCCGAGGGCGCCGCCTACACCCCGCCGCCCGTGTCGCCGCGCTTCTCCTTCCCGGGCACCACCGGGTCCCTGGCGGCCGCCGCCGCCGCCGCCGCGGCCCGGGAAGCCGCCGCCTACGGCCCGGGCGGCGGGGCGGCGGGCGCGGGCCTGGCCGGCCGCGAGCAGTACGGCCGCGCCGGCTTCGCGGGCTCCTACTCCAGCCCGTACCCCGCCTACATGGCCGACGTGGGTGCGTCCTGGGCCGCGGCCGCCGCCGCCTCCGCCGGCCCCTTCGACAGCCCGGTCCTGCACAGCCTGCCCGGCCGCGCCAACCCCGCCGCACGACACCCCAATCTTGGTGAGTACCGAGTGCGATCTCGGAGCCAGGTGGGGACCGGAGCAGGGGCGGCCCAGAGCTCTGTTTGGGGCATTTAATGTGCACAGGGTGGGGAGGTGGGAGGTGGGGAGATGGGGAGATGGGGAGGAGGGTATTACGCGTGAGTTTCTAAGCAGAGCAAACCCGAAAGTCAGAAGCTGGTGGCGCGGGGCGGTGGCGGGGATGAAGGTCACAGTCCTAAGGACCCAGATTCTGTGGAGCGAGGACAGGCTTGTCCCGAGAAGATGGCAGGTGTCAGAGTCTGAAGCAGTCAGTCCCCGGGCAGCGCAGCCGTCGGGGCTGGCTGGCCGCCGTGCGCCCTCCCGGGCAGCGCGTCCCGGTGCCTGCGGGAGGCGGGCAGCTCCGGGAGGGGAGCCGCCCGGAGGGGAGCAGCCCGGAGGGAATCCGCCGAGAGGGGAGCAGCGGGGAGGGGAGCAGCGGGGAGCCCGCCGGAGGGCCGAACTGGCGGTCGCTGGGTTCCTGCCCCGTTTCCTCCTGGCCCGCGCTCGGCCCTCCGCAGGGAACTGTTTGCAGCCGAGTCTTGGGCCATTTGGCGGCCCAGTTGGAGGGCCCCTCGGGGTGGCAGATGATTCTCCTGCCGGGGCTTTCACACCCGCCACAAAGGCGGGACCGGAGCGATGAGAATGGGTTGGTTGAACAGAGGCCGGCTTCACGCGGGGGCCTCGGGGCCAGAGCGCATGGCCGTCGGGCCGGGACTGATGTGCCCAGGGTTGCATAGTAAAGGCAGGCTGGCCAGGGTCCGGGAACAAGGGAAAAGCAAGGAGGTTTCCTTAATAAAACCCGCCTGGAACAGAGACTGGCTTGAACGCAGACTGCCTCGGGACCCACGGGCTGCGGTTAGAACGAATAACCGTAATGGGCACAACTTGATGTTTCCTTTGAATGTCGCACCTGGGAAAGACGCCAGACGTGTGCCCCCCTGTCCTGGCTCATAGATGAACAAAACGAAATCGGAGATGGCCTGGGTGCTGTGGGCCGTTTTGGGGAAGGGAAGTGGCAGCTTCCAGTTAAAAAATGCAAACGACCTCTGGGCCTGGAAAGGGTGTGGGTGCGTTGGCTCTTCTTGTGGGGGAGGAGGAGCCCAGACTGGAGAAACAAAGTTAACATTTATTGACTACCTACTAAGTGCTAAATCCCTTCACATTTGTTCTCACTTTGAAGAGTAAAGCCTGTCCCTCCCAGGTTTCCAGTCTTGGGCTGGCTTGGGGAAGGACCCGTGCTTTGAAGAGCCTTTAAATGATTCTCTGACGCTGGGTGGCCAGGGGAGGTCCCCAGGGGAACCCAGCCAAATACACATCTCAGGTAAACTGATTAACCGTGGAAGTGGCGCCGGAGCTGGGTCTGCGGCTCCTGGCTTCCCCCTCCCCCTCGCGGGGGAGCCAGACGGCACACCCCAGGGGAGGAGGGGGACCTCCGGGGCCCTCGGGAGGAGCCGAGAGAGATAGTGCCCCGAATCTCCATACAATGGCCGCGCCGGTGGTTGTGTGGGTGGGGTGGGGCCCTTTGCCCTGTATTCTTAGAACTCCTGCTTTCTCTCTAGAATTTCTGTTTTAAAAGAGGTCCCCGGCTGGGCGGCTCAGTTGGTTAGGGCATCATCCTGAAATGCCAAGGTTGCCAGTTCCATCCCAGTTAGGGCAGCTACGAGAATCAATCCATGAATGCATAAAGAAGTGGAACAATGTTTCTCTTTCTCAACTAAATAAAAATACACAAATAAAAGGGGTCCCCTAGTTCTGCTTCTTTTAACTTGGAGGTGGGGAGTGGGAAAGTTGATTCCTAACCCTTATAATCCTGAATCTAGAATTTGGTGTTCGGTTGGGGGGGGGAATAGGTCAAAAGCCAAACCTGGAGGATACTTCCTGGTCACCAGAATTACAACTGCAACCATGTAGAAAACAAAACAAAAAACGGGTGTGAGTGCACGCAGTGAGTATTTAGATCCTAAAATGCAACCCGTACCATGCAGGAGGGTGCTGGAGAAGTAATGTTTCCCGAATTCCACTGTCAGTGGATGGCAAGCTGACCTCCAAGGAGTGCGCTCTTGCCAAGAAGCACAGCTGTCTTCCCAGCACTCTGCTCTGTCCCCGTAGCTCAGGAAGTCCCACCTGAAGACAGCCCTTGGGTCTGGTCTAACAGCTGGATTGTCTCTTCTGTACATAGCCCAGTGTTTTAAATGGCCATCTTGAAGGATTCCATCTTATCTTTGTGAGGGAACACGAGACAGGTTGAATTTGTTGGAATTCACATCTTCGAGATATAAGCAAGTTAGGTAAATAGGTGTTTTAAAAAATATATTTTTTTATTGATTTCAGAGAGAGGGAGAGAGATAGAAACATCAATAAGAGAGAATCATTGATAGGCTGACTCCTGAATGGCTCCCCTGCCCTAGTTGAGATGGACCTTGCAACCTGGGTATGTACCCTTGACCAGAATTGAACCCAGGACCTTTCAGTCTTTAGGCTGAGCTCTATCCACTGAGCCAAACCAGCTAGGGCATGGGTAAATTGTGTTGTTGTTTTTAAAAAATACATTTTATTGATTTTTTTTACAGAGAGGAAGAGAGAGGGATAGAGAGTTAGAAACATTGATGAGAGAGAAACATCGACCAGCTGCCTCCTGCACACCCCCTATTGAGGATGTGCCCGCAACCAAGGTACATGCCCTTGAAGGGAATCAAACCTGGGACACTTCACCCCGCAGGCCAACTCTCTATTCACTGAGCCAAACCGGTCAGGGCTAAATGGTTTTTATATGTTCCTCTTATCACATGGGTCCTACTGAAAATGCCTGGTAGCTTTCTCAAGAACCAGTCCTGGCACATTACCTGGCAGTGACTGATAGAAGAATGATGGTCAGGAAGTACTGATTCTGCAGTGTTTACTGAGAGCTTGCTGGGTAGAGTTGCTACCAGGCCCTAAGATGACCATGTAATGTGGCAGTCTGACTCAGGCAAACCTAGATTCAATTTCAGGAGTCCCTATGATCTAGGTTGGTCAAGTTATTTACTTCTCTCTGTCTCTTCTCTTTTTCTTTAGAAAATGATAATATAACTACTTTTACTGTTCTCTTAAATAAGAAAAATAAGGTGATGTTTGTGAAGCACTTGGTCCCTCATAAATGATGGCTGTTTCATTAAACAGTCTCACACCCTCGTGTAGCATGACCAGTTCTCCTGATTTGCTCAGGACAGAAGGGTTTTTCAGGACTTGGGAATTTTAATGTTCAAACTAGGACACTCCCAAATAAATGAGGATGGTTGGTCACCCTAAACAGACATGAAAATGGGTAAATGACCCAGCAGCATGCTACAATAACGAGCTCAGAGCAAAGGAGAGAAGGGATTGTTCTTCCCTTTGTCTAGGAATCTGGAAGCCTTCACCTAAGTGGTGCCATCTCCATTTGGCCTTGAAGGTTGAGTAGGAGTTTTCCAGGAAAAGTACCCGCAATTTAAAAAAAAAAAAAAAAAGAAGAAGAAGAAGAAGCTCTGGCCGGTGTGTCTGAATGGTTAGAGTGTTGACCTGAGCACTGAAGGGTCACCGGTTTGATTTTGGTCAAGGCATGTTCCTGGGTTGCAAGTTCTATCCCTGGCCCCAGTTGGGCAAGTGCAGAAGGCAACCAATCGTGTCTCTCTCACATCGATGTTTTTTTCCTTCCTCTCAAAAAAAAAAAAAAAAAAAAAAAAGGAAAAAGGAAAAATATCCTCTCTAAAAAGAATAAAAAGAGCCGGGACTAGTTTGGCTCAATGGATAGAGCGTCGGCTTGGGGACTGAAGGGTCCCGGGTTCAATTCCGGTCAAGGGCATGTACCTTGGTTGCGGGCATATCCCCGGTAGGGGGTGTGCAAGAGGCAGCTGATCAATGACTCTCATCGATGTTTCTAGCTATCTCTCTCCCTTACTCTCTGTATAAAATCAATAAAATATATTTTAAAAAAAGAATAAAAAGAAAAAAGTTATGCCTATTTGCTATCACACTGTAGTACCATGAATGATACAACACAGCTTGGTATTTATCACCATAGGTAAAACCACACAGTGTAACCCACCCTTCACTCCAAAACTGATTGTAATTTTAATGAGGAGAAATAAGAACACACCTTTATTTTTCTATAATATTAATCACCTTAACAATTTCTTGCCAGAATACCTATGTTGGATTTTTAATAAGGCAAAAAATCAAAGTAATAAAAGCTAATAGGGGCCTCTGTAAAGCCCTGCACTTAGGTTGGAAGGAATATTTCTACCTTGACTGCAGTGTATATGAACTTAATTCATTCCAAGTTCAATATGAGCCTTGACCTTAAAACAACAGTTGAAATCGTTAATTGGGTCGCATTAATGGAATTATGTGATCTTAGTGAGGGCAGGTACAGAGTCTTACTCATATTTAAGTGCCTGGCACATGCTGGGCACTTAGCAAATATTTGAGAAGAGATCTAGGAGGCAATTGCCTCAGTCCCCTGCCCAGGTCAAACTGCACACAATGGCCACTTAGGAGGCCAACTGGGGAGCCTCAGAAAAGAGTGAGGAGTGTGGGAGAAGGTTCTGGAAACTTTGGGAAACCACTGGAACTGTTGAGATTGCAGAAGTCACGGGGTGGATAAGTGAGGGTGAGAGTGACTGTGTACACAGATATCTAAAAGGCAAACGTCTGTGGCTTTCTAACCTGTGCTGCTCCAGGTGAGCTGGTATTAAGTTTGAGAACACTTTTTCACACTTGACTATAGTTGTCGAAGTGGGACATGGTTTGTCTTCATAATAAACCCCTGCGCACTGAAAGTGCTTAAGGAGAGGCTGCGTTGCCAGTGAGCTGTGCAAGGAATTCTTGCATTTTATGGATGCAGTCCTGTGTGTGTTCATGTGAAATAGCTATAGCAGGGTAATGTATCTGTCTTCTTTTAAAGAAACCAATCACAGTGGTTATACAAGTAGTGCAATTTGTCAAAGCTGGTGGAAAGGTATT